GTACAATATAGCTTGTAAAAAAAAGCGATAAAACAAATATTTTTCAAAAAACTACTAAGGTTCAGTAAAAACAAGCTGAGTATTTTTCATATAGTTTCACAATTAATTAAATGTCTGACAAAGTTCAAATGAAGAAATGAAAATACATAGGTAATACATGTAATTCAAAGATTACTAAAATTTTGAATAGGTAAAGAAAAATTATTTGTAGTAGGATATTGCCAGTATATCCAAGGTTGAAAAGATGTAGTTTCTGTTGGTGATTGATTAAGTGGAGCCATCGTATATGATGAATGAACATCAGTTTGAGGTTGTAAAGAGGTTGGATTCGACATTGACGAATGGTAAAATGGTGATTGGAAAACTGTGTGAGAAATATATGGTTGTTGTGCTGTAGAAACAGGTGCAACCTTTGCCATTTCATTTTGAGTAAAATCTTGATTCATATTAGAACTGAAGGAGTCTTCCTCGTCGATGCCAATAATTGTATTTTTTTTATTTCGATTTCTAAGAAATTTATAACCATAAGAGATTCTGTCTTGAAACAAACTTACTTTTTGTTTGTAGACTGTTTTAAGATGTTGCTTGTTGTCGTCATAGATTTAAGAGTAGATTTTTTCGAAGTTGACTTTACTTTTTTTCGTTTATTTTCTTTCTCTTGGACTTTAAGAAAAGCTTCAACGCTTGTCAAACTTTCACCATAAGGACGCTCTACGATACGTTTACGTTTATTATTGGCTGTCACCATTGGAGACATATGCTTGTCAATCGCTGCCGTGATAGCATGAAGTACTGATTGATTTGCCACTTTTTCATTGTTATTTGGTAATGATGAAGAATGACCATCATGACGTAATTCAGAAGAACCTATTAATGAGCTGGTGTTAAAAAATGTTCGTGGTGGAGGTGTTAAATAGTAGTTTGAGCTCGATGTAACTGTTGACAAATTTTCAGTAAGGAAATTCTGATCTGTAAATTGAAAATAAGTACTCTAATCATAGAAGTGTAAGAACCTACTGTAATACGATGTTGATAGTGTTAATGCTTGATTATTGTTGTTACTCTGTATCATCGAAACATTAGTCAAATCTGGAATTGAAACTGATTGAAAATGTTTTGCAGCTTGCGAAACTGACCTGTATATGTTCTTTCTTCAGTTTCATCATATACAATAGGCATGTCATCCGGAACAAGCGATGCTACACCTATGATTTACACAAGAGTATATGAACAATATATGCAATAGTTCGTTTTATTTTACTTGAAATATTCATGATGTTGGCATTGATGTTGCTGTCTATCGACAAACCATAAGCCGTATTGTTTGATGTAAGTGGTTCCAAGCGATCTGCAAAATCAAAATAAAAAAGCACTGGCTTAGTTTGTACTCAAGCTAATTTGAACACTATTACCAGTTGTTGTTAAATCGTTAATGACTGATTTGGAGACAATGTTACCAGACAAATTGTTCATATCTTAACGATCAAAAATGCAGAGTAAATTTTTTTCGGATGCTTTCTTAACGAGATACCTGAATCATACGGATCAGTTGAGTGAACACAATTCAAATTTGGATTTGATGTTGTTAAAATATTATTTTTTGTTGAATTTTGTTCTAGAAAACTACGATTAGCATTAATGTTAATGTCCTAAATAAATTCATACCATATAGTACAATATTTGGACATGAAGATGGTCTAGTCGTTGAATGACAACTATTAGTTGGTAAATCATTAAATTGTAAATTTGGTTTATCAGTAGAATTCGCAAGATGAGGTGGTTGATAAGATGAGTTTGTTGTTGTTGTTGGTTGTAATAATTTTTCTTTCGAGATAACTCGACGATCATATGGATATATGCCGGATCTAAGAAAACCAGCAATGCAGTGACTTGGTAATATGTGGTTTTTGAATAATTCACCAATCTAAAAAAAAACAAATATATGTCTTTCCGGTGCAATCAAACTGGAACTTACTAATAGAGCAAATTGAGCTTTATCAATAGGTTTTGAATTTGTTTTTTGATTGTACGTCTTTAATAGTTGTCTCCATGCTGTTTTAACTTTTGACAATGTAACAACGTCAAGTGGTTGCAATAGTGTGGTTGAATGAGGTGGCAAGCATTCTATATGTATGTTATGATCCATAGCTAATTTAATAATGCTTGTCGAAATATGAGATTTATAGCCATCCATTATCAGAAGAATAGGTCTTTTTTCATTTTTTACATTTGGAATGAAATGATGAATGAACCAATCATTGAATATAACACAATCAGTCCATCCAGTTGAACTTACATTATAACGTGCACCAGGATACCCTTGTTTCGGGCACCAACTGTCATAAAGTTTTGAAGCTTTATAAATGACGTAAGGAGGCAAAAATCTAAAAACTTCATACGGTGTACAACGAAATACATGTGGGTTGATTTCTAATATCTACCTGCCTGCCGCTGATGTACAAAGTATTACGGTCGTCATTGCTTTTCCAGTACCACTTTGTGATGCTATTGCATAACGTGTTGATCTTTTGACAATCACTTGACGACGACCTGGGTCGTCAAAGAAACCACTTTCATCTACGTTCCAGATGGAGGCAGGTTTATCAGACAAGTTAAGCTCGGTCAGAACAGAACGAAGGCGATCAAACCATTTAGCTAAACGGAAATAAAAATACAACAAAAGTAAAAACAAAGTTTTTTTCTTTAATGATAAAGGAAGCTATTCTTAAAATATATAGTAACAGTATAGTTTTTATCAAAAACTTGTTCAAGTATGCGTCGAAATTTGATCTTTCATTGATTATTTGAAGAAAAAAAAATATTTACTTATCACTTCCCGAGTACATGATTGAGATCGAATACGTTCCAGTTTCATAGAAGTCATAATTTTCAATCTGTCACGCCATCGTGACATGAATGAGTACAACCATTCACTTAGACGAGAATCAGATGATATATTTTTTCCAAGTTCAATCATGTATGTTCGAGCCATATTAATAACACATTTTCGAGTAAGTGGCTGTTGCCATTCTTGAAACAACTCAATAACATGTACTAAAAGTTTTTCTTCTTCGGTAGATAGTATTGAAGGATGACCACGAGCACTGCTCCCACGTAGCCCTGACAGCCGACTGTACAGAGTACCAATAGGAATATTATATTGACGAGCAGCATCAACAGCTGTGAGTTGTTTGTCCTTGACTTCGGATAAAGCACAATTTATATCATCGATTGAATAATTTGATTCGGTTTTCCTCACATATTTGCGAGGCATTGTTTCGTAAAAAAATAAACTCAATGTTGTTCAATTAATGTTGTACTGAATTCGAAATTGTTAGACGGACATATATATATATATAGAGAGAGAGAGAGAAAGAGAGTTCACGTTAGTTATTTTTTTTTTCTCGTCTTGAACAGTCATTCACTCTTCTGCCTGAAATTTTTATTGATAATGAGCATAAATAAACAGCCTACTTTAA